TTTCTTTTTCCCCCCCCCTCTCCCCCCCCCCCCCCCTTTTTTCTTTCTTTTGGGTTTTTTTTTTCCTTTTTTTTTTTGAAAGCAGCTGTTGTTTTTTCCTTCTCCAGGGAAAAACGGACTGTTTTGTTCTGCTTATCATTTCTTCCTCCGGGGTAAAAACTACAGTTGTTTCAGTTGAACCAGCTGGGTTTTACATTTACCCTGAACTGTAGTTTTGTTTTTAAACATGCATCTTGAAGCTGACACACACATTACTTGTCAGCATCAGGGAGCTTGACCTTCGTGTAGATCTCACCAGAGTTTCCTACTGTTAGGGACTGTTGTGAAATGCATTATTTCCTTTTTCTGAGCTTTGTTGCTCGTTTTTTCTGTTAAGCTCTTATCAACCTCCAAGTCAAGATTATGCCCTGGCTTTTTGCATTTTTGAAGTAATTCATATGACTTCAAGAATAAGCAGCTCTCCTGAAATTTTAGCTGTTAGGGGGCCTGAAGGGTTTGGGTTTTGTCAGCCCCAAATGTTGGTTTTAGCCAAAATGTTAAAGAAGGAGGAGTTGCCTTCAACTGGGAGTAGGCTCAAAACATATTAAGCCATGACAGATTGGATATTTTGGTTTCATGACTTTGGCATTCTGAACACCTTTTACTTTAATTAATTGATGGGTGCAGTTATTTCCGGGAGTGGAAGGCTGGCACAGCAAAAGTATCTCTTCATTTCAGTTATTTGGTCTCTGTGTGTCAGGTTTTTGCCCTGTGAGGAGTTGGTGTTGTGCAGCTGTGTAGATAATTGCACTGTTTGCAGCCTCAGTCCCTTTCCTGTGTCCTGGGAGCTGTCTCAAACCTCACTTCCTTGTTAGAGTTGTTCCAGGAATGCCTCCCATTTCTCATTTTTATTTTTTTTTCCCCTTTTGGCCGGCCAAGAGGCAGCTGTGAATGTTGTCCTGTGAGGTGTGGAAGAGAGTAGGGGGCTGCCACAGGGGCATTTTCACAGCCGGCCTTTTGAAGGAGCAGTGTCGGGCAGTGAAATCGGGTTGTAAACACTGATGTGAGCCTGACCCTCCCTCCAGAAAACTGAATTTCCTGTTGGCCTGGTGCACTGCATCTCCCTCAGTATTCACAGCCCGAGCAAGCTCGTTCCTCAGGTGCCATCCCCGCCTTTAATCGCTGCGCTGTTACCTGTGTGCAGCAGCTCTGTGTTGATGGCGGTCGTTCACTCCTCTTTCAACAACCTTGATTTGTTTTCCTCCTCGCCCTGGTTTTTGGTGACTGTCCCTGCCCTCCCGTTGTGTTCCAGGTGGGAAGCAGCAGTAATGCTAACGCTGGCAAGCAAGCTGAAGCGGGATGATGGTGTCAGAGGCCCCCGTGCGTCCAACCCAGCGTCTGACTCCACTCGCAGGGTGTCTGTCCGGGACAAACTACTCGTTAAAGGTGAAAGAATATATTGAAATATGTTGGGATTTACTGTTTTCAGGTGTGTTGCCAGTAAACAGCACTAAATTGCATATGAATTTCCACAGGTATTTTTCAAACGTCCTGTGGGATGCTTATTTTATTGGATAACGAAAATAAAAACAAGTGTCCTCCTTACTGTGTTGAAAACTACTCCATCATCATTTAAACCATGATAAAAAATTGCCACATAAGTGTCACTGAGTGTATAGGAGGAGAATGTGAACAGAAGTATATTTGCCTTGGTAGGAAGGTGTTTTTTGAGCAAAACCATAACTGTCTGTCACAGGAAGGAACATCCTGAAAGTAACAACAGTGTTTTAGTGGTTTTAATCGCACAGGTCGGAGGCAGCACACTTCAGAAAGATTTGAAAAGCAATGCAGAGGGAGATTTTTGTAGGCCTGGAATCACTAAGTTGAGTGTGAAGTTGTGAATGATAAACCAGTGATTGTATTACGGTGTGGTATGTTTTAGGAAGGCAGCTGTAGGTTTTTATCAGCTGGTGGAAAAAAAAGCCCCAAACCCAGTGCTTGGCAGTTGTGGGTAAATGCAGTAGTTAGTGAGACAATAATTAAACTATTTTGTAGTTAAATCAGGGACAGCACTTTCCTGTACTTCAATTTATTTTTTTTTGTAGCATAGATAATATTATGTTTAAAAATCCATAGATGCTTACAGCTTGCAGTTACTATGAATTCAAACTCTGGTTCACTCCCTCTGGTAATAGTTGAGTGTTAGTGGCAGAGGAATGTGTTGTTCAGGTTGATGTTTCTGCTGAAAATGATCAGTAGCAAATACACTGCTGTTGGGATTTGTGCCAGTCAGAGGAAATCCACATTTCCTGCTCTTGTTTCAGAATGATTCAAGGCAGACATGGCTGTAGTTGCCTGACTGATATTACCTAACTAGCAGTACATGTGAGTTTTTTTCCAAATTAGGAAATTTGTAATTCTGTCAGATATCAGGAGCAAGGTGTCACTGCAAACGCTGCTACCTCAGTGCACAGGGAAGTGCCTCAGCGAGACTGTAGGAATGTTATATCCACATTTTTCCCTCTGTATTGTTTGAAGGGCAGGGAATTTTTATATTCTTTAAATCATGATTGTGATCCCTCTTACACTTAAAATTTGGAAATCCTCATTTAACTTCAGTTCTGAGGGGGAAAGATTCAGGCAGGAGAAATAAGCTCTTTAACTGGGCTAAGCTACAAAGCCAAATTACTAAATATATATAATCTGAGATTTTCCCTAACCTACAGCTATAGACTTGAGGGGAAGACAGCAGTGTGAAATAAATACCCTTCATGTGAGGTGCCAAAGAAATTTTACTCTACCCTTAGAGCAGTCATGTTTTTCAAAACCATACCTAAGTCTGCAGGGGAGGAAGAGAATGTAATTTATAGAAAATTAGTATTGTAATTGTAATTGCTGTGGCTGTGATAGCAGAGCAGCTCCGTAAGTAAAACTAAGTATTTAAAGAAACTAAGTAAAACTGGGTATTTAAACTAACTAAGTTCAAACTAAGTGTTGAACGAGTCCTGGACTGAACTAGTTAAAAGCAGGTCAGTGCTCACATGGCTCTGACAAGCATTGAGTGCTGGATCCTGATCTGATTGTGCATGGAAGTTGCATCCCTGCTGTGAAATGAGTGGTGTAGGTCACTTAAAGAGTCACCATCAAAGGCTTTGGTGAAAATGTGCCTTAATATAAATTTGCAAAAGCACAACAAAGGTTGTTGGCAGGGTTTACACTACTTACTGCATGGATAATACATGTAAAGGAAAACCAAATTAAAATCAATTTAGAGTGATATATACAGGGGCTGTGATGAAAAAAGGGAAAAAGGCAAAGGAAACTTGGTTGAGTCAGGAGGTTCAGGGTGAAATCCTTTCTAAACTCCTTAGAGAGGAGTCCCAGTGCAGCTGGACCCAGTTTCAGGCTTGGACTCAACAGTTATGTCTAAAAGATTTAGCAGAACTTAATGATAAAAGCATTTAAATATTACATTAATTATTAACCAGCTATAAGCATAATACAGATTCAAGATAATAGTGTTTTACAGTGTGTTCAAGTCAATGCACACACATACTCAAAGATACATATAGATATATAGATACACACACAAATGTGCAAAAGTAGCACATGTATGGATATGTATGTATACAAGGGAATACATATTAAAAAATTCCCTTCAGAATTCATTAAGTAGTCCTGTTAATCCCTTTTTGGGGATTACTAGAGTTTTCTCAAATTCAAGTGAGAATGGTACCATTCCACTCAGGATATAATTCAGCTAAGGAATGTTTCAAAGCCATCAGGGAATGACTGATGATTCCTGCTCCAATCTCCCACCTTGTCCAGGCAGCAGGAGTTCCTGGTACAGTTCAGGAATGTTTCACCAGCGAGCTCTTGTGCAAAGGCCAGGGCCTGATAGGAATTGCTGAAATTGCAGAGCAGGCCAGAGTTCGGGAGAGAGGATGCGCCACCACAATCGCGATGCTCTCCCAAAAGGGCTGCAGGAGCAGCTGTCGTCGTGCTGAGGATGGTTTCTGGGTGCAGAGGTAACTGACAGGAGAAGCAGATCATTCCAGTGCCACTGCTGAAAGTGAGAGGGAAATATAATGGGAAAGACTATATTGTTGGGGATATTCTGTTTTAAGCTGCTCATGTAGACCATTTGTTTACAAAAGTTTCTAGAATTTGCTTCAACACTTTAAGATAGATCAGCTGCAGCAGCATCTATGATGTAAGTCTGAGTGGAGGTGAACTTGTGGCATTTATGGTGTTTCTAGGTCATGTAAAGATTGCAGGAATGAGTTTGAACAGGTATGCAAACCTGCCTAGTAAAGGTGTGCACACAGCAGTGATGCTGCTGCAGCTGGACCAGCACTAGAGCTTTTACTGCTTGTTTGTATGGAACTGTAATAGCTGAACTTGGGCTGTTGTACTGGCTCCAAAGGGAGCCTGGAAGAACAGTTTTAAGTAGAAGTTTTTACTGGTGCGTGTTTTGGCTGGAGTTACAAACAGATGACAGTGGCAGAACTGGGGAAAGGCTCCATCAGTTCAGTGTCTTGGCATCAAATTAGAAAATAATCTCTCCTGCATAAAAAAGAAATCCTGGCCATCAGCAAGGGAGGAAGAGGAGATGAGAAAAGGCTCAGAGTGTTCTGCCAGTGGTGAAGCACCACTGTCCTATTCCTGCTCCACAGTAAATTGCGGATAGTCTAATAAATCCTGCAGACGGATGTCTGCCAGCTTTGCTAAGGGTATTGTCCAGACACAGACAGTGTCTGTTTTTTTTTCTGGAGGTAAATTGCAGACAGTCTTGTTTGTGTTACAAACACAAGATAGAGATATCTTCTCTAGATAGAGAGTCCAGTCCAGGAAGGCAGTAGAGGATCTCTGAAGGATGTGTTGTCACACTGATACCCCTGCAGCCCTCAGCTGTGTTGTGTCCTCTGCCTGGTCAGTAGATCACTGCTCTTTTGATTGAGATGATGGCCACCACCCCAGCCACTGACAAGTGTAGGTGATGCTTACAAACTTTTAAAGACTTGGTGTAGACCAACCAACTGCGTGCTGCCTGAAAGTAGGAAAAATAAGTGCTAATTTAGGTATGGTAGCTATTTGCTCTATGGGTGTGAGGAAACATCTCAGTTGGTGTTTGAAGTAGTGGTGTCAGGCACTGACCTTGACTTTATTGATGGATGCACTTTAAACAGGCTTTGTTCTACTTTTGGGGAAAAGCTGCTCTCAAAATACTGATGCCCTTTGTTAGTTTTTCCTTAAGTTGTTCCTTTGACTGCTTATATCCAGCATTGTTACAGATGAATTCAGGTATCAGTCACGTCTCAGGACACTTGGGTTATTCTGTGGATGTATTATGAATGGAAATCTTTCTATCCCTAAAGTTTTATATGTAGGGAAGTAGTTCTGAGTCACTTGGATCTTTCTCTTCCAGCTGTAGAGAGGGTCTAGTGAAGCACAGCTTTGTTCAAAATGGTGTGTGACTCATCTGTACATCTGTTTTCACTGCATTTCTCTCTAGGCTCAGTTGGAGAGTAAGGCCCTAATCCTGTAGGCCTAGTACCCAAATTAAAATAGAGCAAGCAGTACAATTGCTTCAGCAGCTTTCATTTTGTTCCGTGCTGCAGAGGCAATTTTTAATATTCTGTTCATCTCTAAGGGAAACTTCATTAAGCTGGGGAGCAGGGGCAGCATGACTGTTCCTCCAGGATGGCAAGCATGCAGTGCTGAACTTGAAAGGCAGATCCTTTCTGAATTTTAAAAAGGGCTGAGGACAAACCAAAGTGGTGTTTGAGATTAATATTGTATAATGAAGGTGACTGCTAAATTGAATTGAAGATAGAAAGCATGCCAGGGTGGTAGTAGCAGCTCATGGATCACAAAGGCTGTCCCTTACGCTGCATTTTTGGTAGTGCACAGAAACTTCATCATTCAGCTTTAAATTACTACTACTGCTTGGTTTGATTGTGGCAACTTGGAATAACTTAGTGTATATGAAAATGAGTTAACAAGGTTTATTCCTGGGTTGTCTTCAATATCTGTGGCTTTTACAACTATATTTATGTTGAACCAGAAAATATTTTATGTGTGCCTCTGTATAAGCCTGAGAGAATGGAAGTGGGAAACTGATGATGAAAATGAGTTGAATATCCATTGTAACTAAAAAGGAGGGATACCATTTATTTGCTTTCTTATAGCCTTCAAAAATAGTAATATCCCTCCTCACAAAAACAGGGAAGGAAAGTTGAGGGGGAGAAAATACTTTTTTTTTTCTTGCACTGGTCTGTACAACTAAGTAGGGAATGCTATAAAGATAGATGGATAAGAATGAGGAGGCAAACAGCATTTCCAGAATTAACAGAATATTAGAATTAGTACATAGAAAATGGGATTTTTATTAGTGCCAAGGTATTTAACCTTCCTATCTAGAAGTCTTAAAGAAGTAAATTAAAGAGGGACTTAAACAGGAGAGGGGGCTTTTTGAACAAAACCAGAGAGAAGTAATAACTGCTATGGATAAGAATATTCACTTGAGGAAATAATGCTTTTTTTTTTTTTTGTATACTTGAAACCAAACTCCAGCAGGAAGCATGGAGCCTGATTTTTGTGGAAAATTTAGTAAACAAAGCACTGATAAATTCTGATTTGGGGAGATGAGGGAGCAGAGCAATGAGGTTGTGGTGTGTGCACAGAACATTCATAAGCCTTGTACACACAGCAGGAGTGTTCCTATTTCTGTCTGGAGAGCTGTCATGGGTAGGGAGAGTTATTGTTTGTGAAATCTTTTGTGGAATAAATAACTCTGGCTGCTTGTGTTAGGCTTAGAAGCAGCTCAGGAGCTGTATAGGAGAGAGAAAGCTGAGACATAATTCATTTGCATTCAACTCTTCCAGTGTTTATGTTGGGTTTAAGTTTAAGCCTCACTTTTTTATGGTTTAAAATAGCATGTGGAACTGTTCAAGCAAGTGTGTACCAGGTCAAGAGCAGGATTCTGCAAGTGCACCTCCACTTGGGCTGCTCCTGCACCAGGTCACACAAGGTTTTGGAAACACCAGATGGACTGTTTGGAGTTTCCTGACACTTGGATTTTCTGGTTGTCTCGTCATCTTAATGGTGTGAATTGAGACACAGACACAGATTCTCCACAAAATGACCATGAAAAGTAGTCAAACTGAATTTTCTTCACTGTTCAGCTGTAGTGGCAGTCATTTCTTAAAGGAGGAGCTCATAAAAACTAAGTTCTCTAACTTAGTGAGTTCTTTAATTTTGGAGCTCTTGGAAGTTGAGGGCATTGGAGCTCTGTCATTTCTGTGCTTTGCTTGTTTACAAATGTCTGTTAAATAAGTTGGCAGCCTGCACAAGGGGTGTTTCCTTACAGAGAATATTCACACTGAGGTATTGCTTTATGCAGAAAATTAAATTAAAACATCAGAATCTTAATGGAGCTTGAATACTCTGGTCAAAATGTTTGCTTTCTGAGCAGCAGCATACAAAAATGCTTCTAATGTCAATGTTGTCACTACCAAAGAGACACAGAATTTGGAAAACTCTCAAACACTGAGCTTTGGCCTGTTAAATATGCTTTGTAATTGGTGAATCAGCAGTGTTTGTTCATATTGCACAATTAATAGTAACATCTGTTGACTTACTTGATGGTGTTTTAAACATTTAGATTATTGAAGGCAGATCTTTATCTGCTTTGTCTCCATGAAGTTGTTTCATTCTTAGTTTCAGTGGTTTATTGCAGAGTTCATTAGGAACCTCAATTTTGGGCCATTTTGTTTCCAAAACCTTTGTGTGGATTTATTAGCACAGCATTCCCACCTGTTTGCACACCTTCAGAGAAGGAGCACAGTGCTCCCTTCTCCAGGGTGTGAGGATTTTGTTTTCATGTTTTAACAAGAAAAAAATACTCATTCTTGTGCCAAGAGAGAGACCCAGAAGTGTGAACACATTACAGGGAATTTTCACACTTAGGAGGACTCTGGTGATCGTAAACTCCCTCCTGAACCTTGCAGGAGGCAGAAGTGAAGCCCTGGCTCAGCACAACTGCTCTGGGGCTGAACATGCTCTGCCCTTAAATGTCTCCCATTTTCGGGATCAGGGAAAGGGCAGGCAGGATTCATTAAACTGCACATCACACAAGCACAGAAAGCAATAAAGGAAAGCAGTCAACACCTTAAAATAATTGAACCATGTCCTGAGCTTTGCACTGTAGTGAAGATTGATGTGCCTCCCACTATGAAAGGCTGGTGAATTCGAAGACGGACTGAGGGAGTAATCTTACAAAAAGTTTTCATAGCTGCAGCCTTCAGTAGTTCATTTCACATCTTTTTTTATCAACCAGGAAGGGAAAATTGAAATAAAGTTCTTGATTACAGCTGAAATTTGTGTGTTTTTTAAAGACAATACTTTAGCAAAAGTATGGCTCCACTGTTGTCTTTCAGTGCATGGCTTTGGTTAAATCAGCTCTGGCTGCAAGTGTGGGATTTTAAAAGAGTGAAGTTGTGAATTTTTTAGTAAGTGTGAAGCACAATGCTTCTGTTTTGGTGGTTTTTTTCTCTTGGTGTAGTAGGCTGCACGTGCATGGTGTGCCAAGCACAAGGGAGGAGGGAGTCAAATAATCATCGTTCCCACTGCAGAGAAATGCCAGGTTTGATAAGCATGGATGGCAGGAGAAGTTCTGGAGAGTTGTGATGAGTTCAGTTTGGGTTCAGTACCAAGAATTCTGAATGACAGGTTTCTTCAGATGTGTGTGTTTTTGAGAGTTGGTACTGAAATCTCTTAAGCATTGTCAGCCCAGTTAAATGGGCTGTGTCTGTGGAGGCCTGAAAACAGTTAAAGTGGAAAATAAGACCACAGGAAAAGCCAAAAATATACTCAATTTGATTTTCTAGGACTTTAGAAGTAAAGGGGGGGAGATACCTTGATGCATCTCATTCATATGTAATTGAAAGTAAGACTTCAATAAAATACACAAAAACAGGGATTCTTCCAGGGAAGGTGACTTGACAGGCTTAGGAATACACTTCATTTCCTAGGGTCTGTGGAATAGAATCAAGATACTTCCTTTCTTTTATGAATTTTAACTCAGGAAGTAAATAAAAGGAAAATTTAATTGAATAGGAGTGTCTATCAGTAACAAAACCTGTGCTTTGGAAATGCCACTGCTGTGTGTGGTAGCAGCCCCTGTGCTTCAGTCTCGGCAGAGCTGAACTCCCCATCAAAGGAAGATCCATTTGCAATGTCTGTAGGGCAGATGAGCATTTTTAGTAATGAATTGAGTGGCTTAAAAGAGAAATTTCAAGGTAAACTTCCACTGCAGCCTAATTATATTTTTAAGTAAAATTGGATTTATTGTGTGGTTTAAATTAGATCTGCCAGTTTGGACTTGAAGAAGGGCTTTAACCTTATATAAATAATGCTTTTGTTTTGTTTTTTTTTCTTTCAACAGAGGTTGCAGACCTTGAAGCTAATTTACCTTGTGAGTATAACATTTAACAGTATGCATTTTAAGGGGGAAAGGACCATTGAAGTGAACATTTTGATTAAAGTATGAATACTAATGGTATTTGTTAACTCAGGGAAAGCTGTGCAAAGCTCCTCCACTCTGGCTTGAACAGATTTTCTCTGTTGCTTCCCATTAAGGGGCTGTGGAGAACTGGACTCTCATAACTGTCCTTTGGAAGTAGTATTGATAATTTGCTTCTAGTTTTTGATTGCTGGGGAGTGGCAGCAAAGCTTTCACAAAGAGCCCAAAAGGTTCCTGGGGCTCAAGGGTGCTATCAGTGCCTCATGCCTGTTTTTTTCTTTATTCCCTCATTTTTGAAACAGGTGATTCTGATTTAGGGGGCAGAGGAAATAGCTCAGCTCTTAGGGAATATGAAGTCAACCTGCAGTTTTTTCACTTCAGGATATAACCTGATGTCTTTGTTAATAGTGAAAATACTCAAGAAAACAAATTTTTTAAGAGTGATCCATATTCCCTAAAAGAAGACAAACAAACAAAAAACACCAAAAAAAAAAAAACAAGGCAAGATAATACGGTTTTAGACCTGGAATCTTCCTTGAGATAAAAGCCTTCCTTAAGGGCAGTTACTGAGAATTTACACAGAGTAATTTTAGTTAAACTTTTTTCAGTGTAGGTTCTGTTATAGGGTAAAAATACCTGAAGAATGTGTGGTTTCATTACAAGGGTTTGTGCACAGTTCTAGGTAGTTTTTTTCAGGCAAATAGGATTTATAACTATGATACTATTTAGCTCCTTGGCTACAGAAAAGGAACAGCTGGCTTGATGGGCTAAGAAGCTGAAGACTGCATAATATGAGTGATAAAATATCCATGATAGACTTGCCTCCTCATGCCAGCCAACAGTGGAGAGCTCATTTCTGATGTAAATTACTCCTTTGCTTCACAGGTACATGTAAAGTGAATTTTCCTGACCCAAACAAGCTCCATTACTTTCAACTAACTGTAACCCCAGGTAATTTTTTTCATTATGTTACTTTTGTTTCTCTGTGTGTGCTGGTGTTTAGGAAACATAATTCCAAGAGGAATTCCAATAAAGCCTCGAGTCACAGAAAGTCTGGGTACTATAGTAATTATTTTATTAATGGGATGAAGAAACTGGGCTGAGTTTTGACAACCAGATTCCAGTAAAAAGGCCTTCAAAAATGAGTAGGGTTAGGAAATACTTGTTTGCTTACTTTGAGAACTTTTTTCCTCTCGGCCAGTTTCAAACCACCTTGATTTATTTTGCATTACAGCCCTGTTGGGTTGTGTGTTCCCTTGTACTGGTTGCTTGGTTCTGCAGAGGTGTAAAGAGAGGCTGCCAGTATAACAGTGCTGGAAAATTTCAATCCTAGGCGTGTCTGAAGATGCTTAGCAAGGAGGAATCTCTGAGTCTGATTGTTCAAATATGTGAAATCAGATTTTTTTATTATTAACACAACTTAAGTATCCTGTGAAGCTCTTGCTGGCAAGCTGGTGAGTAAAAGCATTTTCATAAATTATCATTTCCGTATAAGTTAATATATTAATATATAATAGCCACCTGAAATTAGTGTTTTCTGTGTTTCTCTATTTTAGAATAGGAGGTTGTGTTTTATGGATGAATTTGCATGGAAGTTGATTTAAACTTGTCACATACTTCTTGTGTTTGAGACTGTGCAGCTGCTTAAATGAGAACATGGCTGTGTGCAGTGCACTGAGTGGTTTGAGTTAGATGTGCTGGGCTCAGTGGACCCCTGCCAGCTCATTCCTGTGGGTGCCCATTTTCTGTAGATGCTTTGTGACAGCAGAATTTGGGTGAGGTGTGTGAGTCATCCTGGTGTATAACCTGGAGAAACAGCGGTGTGCACTTAATGGAATGCCTAAAATGTTTCTGTAATCCAGCACTTTGAAGCCAGAGCAGCACTAGGTGTCACTGTTGCTGTTTATTGGCTCTTCCTCCAGCAGAAATTTTGGGTGGTCTCCGTTAACATGTCTGTTCATGTGGCTCCCTTTTGTGATGGCAAAAGGAGTGAGGCTGCCCTTGTCAGTGCAATTAAAAATAGATGCATGAGCTAATTTAGAACCTTGGCCCTGTTATCCTGTGTAGGAGTTGTGCTCATATTTATTTGGTGGGTGTTAATTCTGCTTGCACCAAATGCCCTTCACTTTACATGATGCCACTTAATTGTATTTTGGAAAGGAGTTGACTTGACAAGAGCATCACTGTACGAATAAGTGATGTATGAAAAAGCTGTCCTAACTCCAAGGTGTTTAAATCCTAGGAATTGTTTTGTCTGTTGGCTGCTGTGCAGCAGGATGCTGCAGGCAGAAACCAGCTGTTGAATGCAGAGCATGGGTTTTGTGCCAGCTTCGTTGCTGAAACGATCTTGCCAATGAGATGATCTTAATTAACATTTTGTTACTCTAAATATAGCTGCACAGCTGAAGTCTCTGCAGTTGCAGCCTGACCCAAGTAAACATCTATTTTCAGCTGTGCATTCTACAGGTGTAGAATCTTGTGATCAGCTATAGCTTAGTGTTTTAAAGGCAGAAAACAGCACAAATCAAGAAAGTCTTTGTAATTTTCTGCCTCTCTTAAATATTGAAGGTTTCTTAGTTTTTCTTGAGGCAGCAGAGTGGTTGTCACAGAAATTTTGTGGCTCAAGCAGGTTTGAGCCAACTCTTTTTGTTTGTCTGAACAGTATTTGCATGAATCTTGACTTTGTTCTATGCAGTCATTTTGAATGTGGCTGGTCTTGAAGGGACAGTAAAAGAGGCTTCCTTAGGCTTTCACATATAGACTAATTTGAATAAGAAAATAAACTTGACCACCAAGCAGAAATCATTTCAGATCCCTTGCTCAGCACCTCTCATAAAAAAATCTTTCTCAGCCAGTATTTAATAACACAAAATTTTCCTGGTCACAGGAAGTTTTTC